GACTTTTTAAAACCTTCACAGTGTTTTTGTTGTGAATGTTCGACTTTTTTTAAACCTTCACAGAGTTTTTACTGTGAATGTTACGTGTAAAAATGTGGTCTCACGGTTCTCACAAAAACAGGCTGGTCTCATGGGACTGGGGAAACCATGTAAGACGAGAGTAAAAATAGAAAATTTAAGCTAGTCAACAAACGTTTTTGGTCTTTGACTGAGGGCCTTTATCCCCAATCCTTAAGGGCTAGATCTGCCCATGAGCATTGTAATGCGCCATAACACGTTACAACGGAAGTCAATCCATTGATTGGAGTCACAGTGGTTAACGTGACGATAAAACCAAACCTTGATTGATGGCATGCATAACGCGACTTAAAGAAGGCTGTATGAGTAGACACAACACACAGATTGTGATGACTAGATCAAAGTGATCATGCTTAATCTTTAAAGAGCTAATTGAAGTCTGTGGTTGAGAGCTTCCAAATTTTATTATTGACGAGGCTGGCAAATTTCTATACTTTGTTCTTCATCGAGATTGAATTTATTATTGAAACAGAGGTAGTTGAAGGGATATGTGTGAATGGACTCTTTTGCCCCTATTAATTGCAATCTTCCATTAGAAATTTATCTTCTCCAATGATAAAAAAATGGTCGGTTCACATTGGTTTACCCTTTTGGCCATCATCTTATCTTAATTTCCTCACCTCTTCAACAAACCGATGGATGATGAGAAAAACCCAGTACGTTTTGGGATACTAGGCTGTGCTGAGATAGCAAGAAAAGTGTGCAGAGCCATAGATCTCTCTCCCAATTCAATCCTTCACGCGATCTCCAGCCGTTCGACTGGAAAAGCAAAACAATTTGCCATTAAAAACAGCCTGTCGGAATTGGTGAAGGTGTATGGCAGCTATGAGGAGGTTTTGGATGATTCGTCTGTGGATGCGGTGTACATTCCACTGCCAACAAGCCTTCACCTGAAATGGGCTGTGTTGGCGGCAGAGAAGAAGAAGCATGTGCTACTGGAAAAACCAACGGCTCTTGATGTTGGGGAGCTGGATCGGATACTTGAAGCTTGTGAATGCAATGGTGTGCAGTTCATGGATGGAAGTATGTGGTATCACCATCCTAGGACAGCAAGGATGAAGGAGTTACTTTCGGATCCTAACCTCTTTGGTGAAGTTAGAATGGTAACAACACTTTAATGTTCATTTCATAAATCAGTTTTTGTTGGCGTTTTCTGCAAAGTGCCTTTTATTATTATTAATTATTTTTATGGTAACATCGTCCTTGAATTCCCAAGTTAAAGTACATGATTACAATGATAAAGAAAAGGTCAACTTATTATTTAATTTTATAAAATTTTACTTGATTTAAGAGTCAACTTGATGTGTTTTACATGATTTCAAAACTGATTACGATCATGATACATTATTTTCTTTTGATGTAATAACTTCTTTAGTCTACAAGAATGAAAAATATTAGTAACTTTTGACACTTTATTTCGAACCTCATATTTTATGAAATGAATCAAGTACTTGATAAGTGCTGATGTGTGTAAAACATTACATTTTCTTGGGTGCGTTTCTTAAATTCTACTTTTACCGAGTAGAATTAGTACAATTCTTCTCAGATCTACAGAAATTTTTGAGGAACTATCCCCCTCTGGTGTAATTAGTACAATTCTTCTCAGATCTGCAGAAATTTATTGCCATCTAACAATTCACAAGAATTTCATATACACATATCGCATTCCCAAATATAATAAGATATCAAAGTACAAATATGTAACTGTAGATTCATAATTACATTGACCAGTTGTAATTTTGAGTTTACCTTACATATCGTTCTCTTAACCCATCATATTTATTCCAGAAGTTCTATGTATGTTAGGGGCCCTTAATATGCAAATAATACAGTTTAAGTCTAGGCATCATTCTGAATACCTAAATCAATTAAAATTAGGCTCTAGTACCATTTGTAACGCCCTAGGTTCCAAGGTTTTGCATATACTCATGTAATCATGTATTTTATATAACAAGAAATAAAATTTTACATATTTGGTCCGAAAAGAACCTACCAAATACTTTCTTCAACCAAAATCTCTATACAAAACTTGTACTCATAAGCAGCATGCAGATACAAGTTACAACACATTATCCCAAATATCCATATATATACAATCATATAATTTCTTCATAAATTCCATTTCTATTACCATTTGGTTACCTGACCTGTAATGCACCATTTAAAACACAAAAAATGAGGGTTAAACCGAAAGGTCTAGTGAGTGAATTCCCTTATTGCCTTATATTACAGGGTGAATAATCACCAAACATATTTATAAACTCATATTTGTAATAATAACAAATATACAACCTTTTGATATAACAATCCTCTTTTGTCGCATCTAAAAGATGAGACATTACCAATTTATCGCATCAAGTAACCCAATAACTCATTTAACACATTCTGATATAACTCATCGCATCAAATAGATCAAAATGTTAATGAATTCAATTATGTTATCAATGTTAAAACTATCGCGGATGCCCCGCCATCTATCGCGGTTATCCCGCTACTATCAAGATTTAAACGATGAACAAACTCATTGACCAAAGCTTGGGCGATGAACACTCCCTCATCTCCCAAAGCTTGGGAGATGAACACTCCCTCATCTCCCACAACTTAGGAGATGAGCATGCCTCAACATAATAATCGTAATCCAAACACATCACATAAATTCATGTATCAAAGTAAATCACGTGTGACGTAATAACACGTATTTTATAAAAGCTTTGTAAAAACTCAACTCGTCCGATATCAACCGAAATCTTATCAAAACTCTATCTGTATCTTTTTTTCTTTAAACCAGAAACCACCAGACACTCCTCTATTTTCCTCTCAAGCTATATATATATATATATATATATATATATATATATATATATATATTAAAGGAAGGGAGGTGTTAGGCGGTGCATGGATTTGCACCCAACCTCCTCCTCACAAAAACCAACCATGCCATTAGACCAAAATTTTAAAATCACAACTTGGTGACTACAACTTCACCTTTAGTCTTTCATCTTTTGTCAACTATAATATTTTACCCTTGAACTTTTTGTCAATATTTATTTCAAAACCCGATCAACACAAATTTAAAAAACCCAAAATTACATAAAATATTTAATTTAATTATTAACTATATATTTTAAAAAATTATCAATATATTATATTATTTATTTATTTTTATCATTTTTTTAGTATTAATCAACATATTATATTTTNTATCAATATATTATATTATTTATTTATTTTTATCATTTTTTTAGTATTAATCAACATATTATATTTTTAGAGATTTGTTTTAATTATATCATGAAATATTGTAATTGATTAATTTCAAGATGTTATCTTTGGTCATTTTACATGTTTATAAGCAAGTTTTTACTAAACATGATTTATTCATCAGCTAGCTTATTAACTTCCAGCTATCTTATCAGCTAGTATGTCAAACATAACCTTAATTTATGATGAAATTGAACACAAGTTCTAATTTATTTGAGCAAAAGGTTGATTACTTAGGCTAGCGAATAAAAGTTCTAAATTATTCATTAAGATAACAAATTTTATTATTATTATTAAATTATGTGTTCTAATAAGATGATTTTTATTCATCATTTTTTTAATTATAAATTAAATAGATATTTTCTTAATATATTACTAAATTGAATTAAAAAAATTATATTATTATTGAAATCATAAATTACTGAAGTATATATTATAAGTTACAAAGATGTGGCAGGATCACTTTAGAAAGTAGTATGTAATGGTGTGTAAAAGATAAAGTGCATGGTTTCTGGGACGACCTAACATGTTAAAATGTAATATAATAAAAGATGTAATTATTTGAAAATGCCAAAGCTCCGAGTGAACCCAAAATAGGCCATGGACTTGGATCTACCAAATRATAAGAGTGCCTCTGAGATTCAATCAAATTGAAATTAAATTGGCCGAGTTATTTAGGTACCATCTTTCATAGACGACAAATTGAGCGGTAATAGTATTTTTTTGGAAGTTATCAATCCATTTGACCCATTTGTTAAAATCTGTTAACCTATTGCACTTGGAACATTAAAAATGTTGGTTAAATGTGTTGGCTTGCCTTAATTTTTTTTTTTTCATGTTATACAAAGATCTACAGTTCCTCGTCATTCGTGCCACCTCCAGAATTTTTTGAGAACAACATCAGAACAAAAGCAGATTTAGATGGCTTCGGAGCATTAGGAGATGCTGGCTGGTATTGCATTGGAGCGATTTTATGGGCAATGAATTATAAACTACCGACCACTGTCACAGCTTTACCTGCAACAACTCTAAACTCCAATGGAGTCATCATGTCCACCACAGTTTCCATTCACTGGGAACAAGAGGGAACAGTTGCAACCTTTTACTGCTCATTCCTAGCACATGAGACGATGGATGTATCCGTCTTGGGATCCAAAGGGTCATTCCATGTAGAAGATTTGATCATTCCTTATGAAGAGAGTTCTGCTTCGTTTAATTTTACATCCGGTGCATCTTTTGTTGATCTTCATCTTGGGTGGAATATGACAGAGCAAGAAGTTCGAATTCACAACGAGCTTCCACAAGAGGCTTTGATGGTTAAAGAGTTTTCAAGGCTGGTTAAAGGAATAAAGGATTCTAGAATGGGACCAGATACAAGGTGGGGTGGCATTAGCAGAACAAGTCAAGTTGTTTTGGATGCTGTGAAAGCATCTGTGGATAGTGGTTCTAAAACCGTGTATATTTGATCACGTTTCATGGAGGCTCACTCCAATGGTCCTTTATTGTTGCGAGAAAAAAAATTTGAGCACAAACATTTCTTCTTTTTAAAAGTGACTTCGTTATCCTTATTCACAGATCATATATATCTTCTACTTCTTTCAAGTTATTTTGTATCTTATTAGCTATTTTATATGTCACTTTTGAAAAGATTTATATAGACTTATATTTTTATAGGACACGTGTGTTTATACGACATTTTTTTAACTAATATCGTATAAAATAGTTAATACAACATTTTATTTTAAAAACGTCCTAAAAACTTGTTAAAACGTCCTATAAATCTATTATAATGTGTATCAAATGGGTTCATATATGAACCCTTTTGCCACCTATCTGTAAAGTTACGAAATTATCCCTCTATTTCGGTGCTTCACGGTTAAATCCATCGAAAAATTAGTTATTCCAGAAAAAAAAAAACCAAAAAACCTGCTAATTTAAATCCTGGAATATAAAAATTCTGTAGATTAAAATAAAAACTGCTAAAATACATAAATGCCTAATATGATTATCCGGACATTATAAATACAAATACAAATTGTTCAACAAAATTAAAGTATGATTGTTATTTCATAAATACAATCAAAGGATCAAATACAATAAAAACCTTAGAATCTTTAATAAATAGTATAAATGGAATAGATAAACATCAAAGAAAAAAAAAGGTATACACCTGCCTATCTGCAGAAAACGATCCACTCGGGTTTGCTTGTGATGATGTCCCAGTCCAGACCCAATTGAGATCTTGATTGTATCCGAAACCAAATAGACGACCTTTCTTCAGTCCCCCCAATCACCTCATTCTACAATTCGGTATCAACTAGAGGATAAGTCGAGGGATCTTCACCATACTTTTAGGTGATATTGGTTGAATAGCTAACAAAAATATTATAAGTCAATTTCAATAACATAAAGACTGTAAAAGAGATGTTTTCAAATAAAACAATTGAACAGAAGAAAAAAAAACATTTTTCTAATTTTTTTAAAATCCATCTGAAATCCTTCGTAAATTTTAAAAATATTTTATTTTGTTTTATTTAATATATATTTTTTCTGGAAGAGGAAGTTAAAAACATTTTCCTAAAACATTTGATGGATTTTATTTTTTCAAATAAAAAACTAAATTCTCGGAAATTTTGAATTTCTTTTTCTTTTTTTACTTTCTTAAAAGACTAGAAGGGTACTTGTGGAATGCATCGAGACACATTTTGATTTAAGTGTTTCGTTTTATTCCTTTTTTATGTCGATATAATACGGTTTTATGTGGTTTTTAGAAATCGATAATGTTTTTATTTTATTTTTAAATACAATATAAATTTCAATATATCATAAAATTTTCAATATATCGATATCAGTATCAAATTAATCTTTTTAAAAGTTTTTTATGTTTTGGTGTAATTATCTTAATTCAAATTTTTTAATTAAAATAAAATTTAATTTAGGATTAGTAACAAAGAAATTTAATTTAGGTTTAATAATATAATTTTTTTATAAAGATAATAACTAAGTATTCTGTTAGAATTCAATGATTATCTTAATAATATTTTAGATTTTTTATATTTAAAATGAGATGTTTATCCAATATTTGATTATGTTTATCCGCAGTTAGTTATACGAATTCAAATATGGAGCTTTAATAAGTTGTACTTATGCACAATTTATTTGTAATCTTAAATTTTAAGTAATATGCATCAATAAACAGTACTTCATGCATAAAAAATGGTTTTTAAGAGTTTTTGTCAAATGTTTTATAATATAGTATAGATATATTTTTGGAAGAAAAAAATAAAAAAGTATTTTTCTAAAAATTACCGAACAGATTTCAAATTTTTTTAATATTTTATTAAAAAATTAAAATCCGTCCAAAAGTCGACGGAAAATTTTGATTTCTTTTCAATTTTCTTCAAAAATATGTATTTTTGGAAGAAAAAAGGTTAAAAAAAGCCGTTTTCTAAAATTTATGACGGATTTTTGATTGAATTTAACTTTGTAAATATAAAAATAAAATTTGAAAATTTAAAAATATTTTTTGTTTTTTTTATAAATAGTTTATGGAAGAAAATAAATTAAGGAAAACAATTTTTAAAATAATTTCTGACAGATTTTAATTAAAATCAGTCGGAAATCCGTCAAAAATATTAATTAATGAATATTAATTATTTTTAAATTAGAAGAATTATGTGGTGGATCTCAAACGGATTTGGATGGCTTTTTAAAGTAATAATAAGTGAAAAATCCATCACAAATCCGTTGAAAAAATCATCAAAATAAATCTTTTTTTATATTCAGTAACGAATTTGTGAGAGATTTTTGACAGAAACCAACAAAAGTTGACTTTTTTGGGATCCGTCGGAAATTCTTGGGTAATTTTCCGAGGGAAATCCCATTAGAAAAATCTGTTAGTGATACCCAGTTTTTTAGTAGTGTTATATTGTTAATTTAAACTTTATTATTATTTTTATATAGAAATGAAAGAAAAACGTAAAGAGACAAAAATTCCCTTGATTTAACAGAGTAATCATTAGTAGAGTTATGACAAAGAACACAATCCGTAACAATAGAGAAACCACGGTAACTGTAGATGTAATTATTTCATTTGGAGAATCCAATCCATAATACCTATATAACCACAGGGACGAAATGTGCAATTACTCTTGTGCAAATGATAAGAAATGGTCGTGGATTGAATGTTTGGAATTATCATTCCTTCTTTTATCCTAAACTAAGAAGATAAAGAAGGTTACATTAGATACCAAAGCTTACATATATAGAGAGAGAAACGTGATGAAGCTGCTCTGATTTGATGCAAAAGACCGCAGTTGCTACAAAATCGAACACACAGAGAAAAATGAAAAGTATATATATTTGCAGCTCCTATGATACGCATCCTCAATTTCCACGTACGTGGATTCTTCTATGGGCATCAATAAAGGTAGGCTTGGATATATGTCTTTGCCCCAACATTGACCCACTGTACATCATTAAAACAACTTCAGACATGGTTGGTCTTAGAGAAGCTGGTGACTGAGTGCACATTAGAGCAATCTCTACGATCTTCATCACATTTTCTTGTTCATATTCATTTGGAGCTACTAATTCATCGATCAACTTAACATGTGTCCCTTTCTCGTACAACTGCCAAGCCTATCAAGCACAATAAGGTGAAAGGAAAAATGGTAAGTCACAGAGAAGAAAGAACAAACATGTCAGGACCAAGAAATATAACTTTGTATTGACTTAACTATATGATAAATAGACCGCATATCTACAAAGACATATGATGAACAAAAGTTAAAAATGCGATGTTTCTACCATTCTAAGAGGAATACTTTGCATTAAACTCGTTGCAATCTAAATGCATTTGAAAATTACTAGGTATATACAATGTTAAATGCCCAAGTAGATTCCTTAATATTTTTTATTTTCTTTGTCAGTCATGGAAGATAGAGAACCGGAAGGTTGTATTATTACCTGATCAAGGAGGTATTCCATTTGAGGCTCATCATAGTTCACGTCACTACACCTCCGACCACTAATGACTTCAAGGGCCACAATACCAAAACTGTAAACGTCTACTTTCTCTGATAAATGTCCACGGTTTGCATATTCGGGTGCCGTATAGCCCCTATAATGTTTTTTAGAATGAAATATATCATAACAAAAATCTAATGAAGTCAATTGAGGTCACTCGAAATTGCATATTGGAAAAAAGAACATACATAGTCCCAGCAAACCGAGTGCTAACATGGGTTTCATCCTCAGGTTGAAACCTAGCCAACCCGAAATCTGCAATTTTTGGTTGGAAATCATCGTCAAGGAGAATGTTGCTTGATTTTATATCTCTATGAATGATCTTGACATGGAATTCTCCATGTAGATGGGCAAGACCCTTTGCAATCCCGACGATAATGTCAGACCGTTGTTTCCAATTTAGTTGTCCCCTTTTTTCACCTGTCAATCATGATTTACAAGTGAAAATATGTGTTTTGACCCAAACATCTCATGTGACTAATTTATATATATACGCATTTCAGCATATTAACTTACCCCATAAGAACTTGTCTAGGCTTCCTTGGGGCATGTATTCTAGCACAAGAAGTAGCTCAGGCCCATCAGTACACCAACCTAGTTGTAGGATAAGATTTCGGTGACGAACATTACTTATAAGCTTAATTTCATTCTCAAATTCCTTTTTTGCTCTACTCCCTACATGGAGTTTCTTGACTGCCACTACGACCCCACCATCTACAATGGCCTGTGAATCCATAAACAAACAATTAGTCGCATATTGTCCTACAATCTACAATTGTTTATACATAACTAATTTGAAAGAAACAAACGATGCATCCATTTGAAAAGAAGACACAGCTGGGACTATACATAAACATCAAACTCTTGTGTGTCGAGAAATAACACTTGTTACCTTGAATACTTCGCCAAAACCTCCTTTTCCTACTACATACTCTTCACTAAAATTATTGGTTGCTAGTTTCAAATTTTGGTAACTGTAACTTCTTGCGCCTTGCAACTCGGAAGTATCTAAGGCATCAGATGGTAGACATAGAGGAGCGGATCTGATTAGTAATTGCAATCAAAGAAATCAAACATGATAATTAAATTAGTATTTATTAAAATTTTAATTATGACATGATAAATGGTCCACCATTAATGCCCAACAGGTTGTAATTCAGAACTTCTGTCTCGAGCATTATTTACCTCCCGCTAACTTCAAGCATTCTATGTAAAATATTATCACAAGATTTCTCGATTGTAATTCATATCTTAACTAACGAGACTCTTTATTTAAGTTTGTATCAAAAAATCATTGAAGGAAGATGAGGTTTGGTGGGTTTCCAAGGGGAGAGTGAAGATATAGCCTATATGCTGTAAAAAAGTTAACTTTCAGGGAAAAAAAAAAAAAAAGAGTCGAAGCTCAAGTATAACGATGGCGAAATTGTTGGACCAAAGATCTGAATCGCTATTTGCTGTGAAAGAGAAGGTGCGCGACGATTAGCAGCATCACTATTTGCTATAAAAGAGAACTTGAGTGAGGAAGCTGATTCAAAAAATCAAAGTCACTATTGGTTTTAAGGATTTTAGTTCAATCAACTTAGTTTTGAGCATTTTTTATTTGCGAGTTTGCATACATGACAACAACGTATTCACTTTTCCCACTTAACACATATTTGTGCACTCTCGCACACACTTTTTTTTTTTTTATTAACCTGGATATCCAACCCATTATGCGAGTCGACTAATCCCAGGACGACCACCTGCTTGCGCGTAGCCAAGAGTCACGCACTTGCCGTCATGTGGGCTTGTATATTAAATAGTAATTGAGACATGGCAATTGGGTCTTTAAGGAATAGATCGACTCACAAAGCCTCATGTGAGATATGGACTAAAAATATCACCTTCTCCAACAGCCTTAGATTTTTTCCATCGTGGATACCATAAGGAGAAAGCAGCAAGGATAAGCAAAAATAGCCCTGCACTGCCACTTACACCAATGATTATTCCAGATTTACTTGAACTCCCTGTTACACATATTCACCAGTTACAATATCTTATGTTAACATATGGAAAATATTCAACTAAAAACATTAAAACGTAAGAAGCCTCACCTTCACCCAGGAAAGGTATGAGGTTGATTGTTTGGTTATCCTGAAAAAATGGTAACTCGGAATACCTCATAAAACATCCTACGTTGATAGCTCTTCCTTCATCAGCGGGCAGACAACTGTATAAGTTGTTATATGCTGTACTCAAGCAGTTCTTACAAATGTTCTCGCTCACATTCTCAACACACTGTCCAATTGCATAAACTGTTGCATTGCCATTAGGGACTTGCCTTGTGGATGCTATATAGAAATCAGAAGTTCTTGGCGTAGCAACTTGAATGTCTGATAATAAATCTTCTACCGCTTGGTTGAAGACTGTTATTAGCTGAGACGTTGACTGATTACCACATATTCCAAGTGGAGCAACAGAAACGTCCGAACTACCTTCGGGGTCATCATAGAACTGGTCGTAGTTCTCAAATCTTAATTAACACAGAAGATTTATACATTTTAGTATGAATGTATATGATCAAATTCAAATGTGGCTGGAAAAATTTATAGTTCATCACTAATTATTTGTCAACTGGTCATCAGATTTATCTTCCTATGAAATAGAAGTGTTGCAACTTTACACTGGCAGTTGTTGATATGTTAATTTGGTTATTTATTATATATGGTCATGCTTGATTCAAGCAATCTTGAAACTACTTTAAGAAACTTTGCTCGAGTTGTGGAGATAAATAAACTACGGGTAATATCATAGATCCTCACTTACTAGGTCGACCCCAATTACGTACAGAAACTACTGGTAACCTAACCTCTAGCTAGGCCCGTGCGACGGCACCACGACAAACCCCTATGACGGCACCACGACACACCCCTAGGGCTGGCCCCGCTCCCTCCGCAAGTTCTCTTTTAGAGAGTTAGTGAGTCACTTATTATCCGGAACCTCCTAGCTATGACTTTATGTTTATAGAGAAATTAATTAAAAGGGATTTCATTAGGGCTATCCTTGGCTAAATAAATGGGTAATTATCCATATCCTTGCGCTATCCATTAAGATGTCCGATAACGAAACTGGTAATGTATAAATGGTAAAAAAAATCATTTTGAACTACAATAATATTGTTAATCATTTTAACAATAATATTGTTAAACATCAACATAAGTGAAATATAAGTTCATAAATATAATCTTTATTTTATATCTAATTTGTTCCAATAAACAATGTGTTAGTGTTTTAAATATGTTATAATATGATATTTTATACAAGAATATAAAAATCTAAAGACAACATTTATGTTTTTTATATTTCTTTTAGCGGCCTCGTGTTGCTTCTCATTTGATTATCCTAATTATCTTTTATAGTTAATGAATATGAAAAGAAAATTAAATACCAATTAATATACGTTATACAACATATAAGATGACATTCTAAAAAATATATAATGTTTAATTTTATATAATCATATGTATGTATATGTATGTCTGTGTGTGTGTACATATATATAAACGGGTAGCGGTAAATAGATAAGGAGAAACACTTTATTCATACCGTATCCATTAAAATGTCAGGTAAACAAATAATGAATAAGTGGATAAAATTTTCTTTACCCATACTCTTATCCAACGAGTCAAAACATAACGGGTAAACAAGTAATAGATTTACTCTTACCCATTGTATGCCCTAGATTTCATGCACACCTGCATGGCTCTTTCAGCTTCCATTTGTATTTGAACAATTATTTGGCAGTAAAAGGACTAGCATAATACTCTCATCTATTTACTGCCCTTAAATTACCACAAGACTAACTATGCGTACTTCAGGGTTAATTTTTAATAATTAGATTGAATTTGATGGGTAAATTTTCAAACTACACTAAAAGAATTGAAGGCCGTTTTGTAGTTGTTGAATAATTTCATACGAAATCATTAAGTGATCAGAATAATTGATAAGCTTTGTATGACATATAGCAGAATGAAATATGGTTGTTTGATGACTGTTCTGAATGACAACAAATTACCATTTTAACCGTGTATGATTTAGTTTCAAATGAAATACAGTTGTTTGGTTCAAAACAACATTCCCTTTTTTCGGTTATGACTATGTGGTTTGTTTTTGCCTAACTCATGCTTGGGATCAACTATGTGGTTTGCTTATGCTTCTCCTACATTACTTCCAGTCATTGCACTATTAATGAACAAAGAATGTGGTTGTGATGCCAATTATAATCTTTAGCCAACATGACATAAATCAAAGTTCAAGGTCGATGAACATGATGGTAACATATAGGCAAAATTCCCCAATTGTGTTTGAGATGCAAACACAATCAATCGGCGGTTTCAATCAGTCAAATAAATGCAAGCAGTGGTTTCAATCGATGCAAACTGATGGTTTCAACCAGAAAATGCGACGAGCAGATGGTTTCAGTTGGTGGTTTCAACCAGAAAATGAGATTGTTCCGATTGATGTAAAAAGATGGTTTCAATCAGTGCTTATGAATCGAACAAAAACAGATCGATTGAACACAAATAGATGGAAAATGAGATGAGCAGTTGGTTTCAATCGGTGGTTTCAACCAAAAAAATGTGATAGGGTCCAATCGATGCAAACTTATGGTTTCAATCAGTGGTTTCAGGCGATGGTTATGAATAGAACTGAAACAAATCGTTTGAACCGAACAGATAGTTATGAATCGAAGAAAAATAGATTGATTGAACAAAACAAATGGTTATGAATCAATGTTGAGACATGTACCTGAAAAGCTTGAGTGGCAGATTCCTGAGTGACGTAAGGAAATGAGAGGGTAGTCTTGGAAAAACATAGCTCTGAATGGTTTTGAGAGACGAGGATAAAGTAATCGCTCAACCATTAAGAGAGAGTTTTTTTTTTTTTTTTTACCAAACACCATTATACTTTTTTAACGGTTAAGAGGTTTCCTATGAATGAAACTGTTAAGAGGTAAATAAAATTTTTATCCACCACCCTTTTTTTTATTAATACTCTCATATTATGTTATTAGAAGATGTCATAACTGGTAATGAAACGTTATACTTGTACCCTAATTAATTTTAGGGATTTGTATTTTAGAGCAACTCCCATCAAAATTCAAAAGTCAAAATCTCAATAAAATCTTCAAAGAAAATTTATGTTCATCTCCGGTAGCTTCTTATATTATTAACATATTTAATACATTTTATAAAATATTATTTCTCTCTTCTATACATTTAGTTTTATAATTCTCGTTGATAGGAAAAATAAAAAATAATTTATCTTTCATAAATAATCATTTTTGGTAAGTTCTTCAGATTTGAAGAATTTCACGCTTTATCATACTTTCTTCAATTTGTGGAAGATCTTGAGAAATCTGTTGTTGAGAAAATATCCCCAGAAAATCTGTTAGAAATGCTCTTACGCTTAATGTTTGTATTTTTAAAAGTAATTTCATCATCAAATTATCAATATTAGACAAAAACAATAATGAAGATCAATGATCAATTTGATACCATTTTTTATAGTTGACCAATAATTCATCTTAAATAATGGAATTTGTGTATATTGTCAACTCTGAAATTTGACCCATTTTTAAATAACAAAAAATATGTAAAATAAACATGACATAATTATTAGAAAAATTATATTTTTCCTTTAAACTGTTCTTACACATTCGGTTGACGAGAGTTTTAGTGCATTAACTTGATTAGCATTATACTTCATACAACTTTATCAAACATGACATGGAAAATTGGTCACCAAACAAAACCATAGATTTGAACATGAATTAACATAAATCTAACAGTATTATAATTTGTTAAGTTTTAATGTAAGTTTTCGATTGGAGAAATGAATTGCTAATAATATATATAGTATAAATTGTGCAATGAAACCCTAAAATTAACATGTAATATTTGTATATGACACTTTAGAAGAATAATTGTGGTTTAAAATCCAATTAAAACCTCTTACAAAGTTGGAATAGCTATACTTGATTTTAATTTAATAAAAAAGCTATTGTAAGCAACAAAATTGGAACAAACATTCACGTATTGTAAGTGAAGGGTTTTTTTTGGGGGATTTTCACGCATAAAATTGCTTGTTCCAATAGAAAACATCAAATATGATTGTTATTAAAAGTGATTTACTTTGATGAAAGGAAAAGGAAAGAACTACTCACCTGAGGAAGCAGTCATCGAGAAAGACACTAGCACCGTTTGCAGAACCGCAGGGTTCAACTGCAGACACGGCGACATCAAAGCAAGCCAAACACCGGGCTGCCGAGAGGTAGTTCCTGCATTGGGCGATTCCATACACAGCATCCCCGTTCTCCAAGTTCTGGGCTCTGGCATAATATACACCATTGTTGGACAATTGGCTTTTGAGTTGAGAAAAGGTAGAATCGAGGTTCCTGGAAAAACTTGTTGGAGACATTGCATCATTGCTGCCACAATAAAATCTGAGGGGTGTGTTCGTATTGGTATTGTTGTTGCTTGACTGTGCAACTCCATGTTCCATCATCATTAATACGATCATAACCACCACCAAGGCTGACATCCTCACTCGTTTCCCCTTGTTTACGTTCTTGTCTTCTAAAGTGTGAAATAGTTATGGAAAAATTATGCAAAGAGATGAATGGTCAAGTTGGAAGGCGGCTTTGATTGAAAGCAAGTTGGATTCATATATTTGAAGGGGAAAATATATACAAAAATATTAGAGTCAATACATGCTGCATATTGTTTCTGAGTTTTTAACTTGACCAAAGAAGGGACAAAGGAAAAGATGTCATACAGAACAATGAAAACAATTGAGAAGGAGAAGATGTCTAACACTGAATGTGTGATTATATCTTTAAATATTATAATTATAGTTGATGATGTCCATATGTTATTTTAGTAATATTTGTTATTTTCAATTTAGAAGAAAATTGTCGCTTTAACTCATCACAATTAATCTGATTTCGTTTGTTCTATCACTTGGTATTTGTGTATGTTAGAGTCTCATATCACCTATATCGATTTGGGATTTGGACCATTTCACCTCTACATATGTTAGAACCCCTCTTTATCTCCTCGAAGGCTTTTTGAGAGTAATCTAATGAGGATCCACATACTCTCACATAGTATTAAAAGTAAACTATATGGAGGACAATCTGTGTTTATTGGATTAGCAGGACCTCCCAAAAGATTGTAACGTAATTGAAAAAATTAATTAATGACAAATGCTAGATACAAAAAGTTAAATTTGAGAATAAATTAATAATAAAATGAACGTTAAGATAACTTTCAAAAGGTTAACCACATTCACATTTATTGTCTGCGATCGTTGACCATGCAAGGGATTCATAAATATCAACGGTTGGGGCTGGATTTTGTCGCATGCAGTTGATAATGACACAACCTCTCCCTATCGCTTTTATATACAAAACTTGACAGCACCCACCACTTTAATTATACGGGAGGTTAAACAATTAGTATTATACATGTTTGAATGAAACTGTATCAACCTCTTATTTTGTTAAAAATTACGATACAAAATATAAACTTTTGGGATTTTTGATATGGTCACTAGAGATGGCAAAATAGGTTACAGGACGAGATCGAAATGGTCCTGAACTATAACCGAAAGGGATTGAGCCCCGTTGGTTCCCGATTATGGCCCGTCAGATAAGGTCACTTAAAGATATTAACTTTTTTAACCCGGTTAATAGACCAATCCAATAAGGCTGGTTATGACTTATGAGGCCCAACATATTCGTATCAGAATTACACACACACATATATATATATATATATATATATATATATTAGAAGGGTACTTGATGTTATAATATGTGATTTTAAAAAAACAATAATGTTTTTATTTTTGAATAAAATATAAATTTGAAGATATTATAAAAATTTGACAAAATTATATCGATATTTGTATCAAATTAACTATTTAAAATTCCTCATTTTTTGTTTAAATTTTTAATTCAAATTTTTTAATTATAATTTAATTTATGTTCAATAACAAAGTAATTTATATTTGGTTTAGTAATATAATTTTTTGATAAAGATAATAGTTAATTATTTTGTTAGAACTCGATAATTATCCTAATTATATTTTAGATTTTTTATAATTTAAAATGAGTGTTTATCCTCTATTTGATTATGTTTATCCGTAGTTATGTTTATCCGTAGTTAGTTACACGAATTCAAACATAAAGCTTTATAAGTTGTAATTATGCATAATTTACTTGTAATCTTGAATTTTAAGTAATATGTATCTATATACAGTACTTCATGCATAAAAAAATGGTTTTTAAGAGTTTTTGTCAAATGCTTTATAATATTAGAAGGGTACTCGCGCAATGCAGCGATATTAATCTCGATTTTAATGTTCTATTTTATTTTGTCTCTGCCGATGTTATAATACGATTTTATGTGTTTTTAAAAAAACAATAATGATTTTATTTTTGAATAAAATATAAATTTAAATATATCATAAAAATTTGAAAAAAAATATCAACGTTAATATCAAATCAACTATTTAAAAGTTCTCATTTTTTATGTAATTTATTTTTTATTCTAATTTAATTTAAGTTTAATAATGAAATAATTTATTTTTTGTTTAATAATATGACATTTTTTAAAGATAATGATTAAGTATTCTGTTAAAACTTAATGATTATCCTAATTATATTTTGGATTTTTTTTATATTTAAGATGGGATGTTTATCCGGTATTTGATTATGTTTAATAGCAGTTAATTACACGAATTCTGATATGGAGCTTTAATAAGTTGTACTTACGCACAATCTACTTGTAATCTTGAGTTTTAAATAATATGCATTAATAAACAGTACTTTACGTATAAAAAGTGATTTTTAAGAGTTTTGTCAAATGTTTTATAATATAGTATAGATATATATAATTCTATTCCAGGCTTCGAACATAGACAACTTTTGTGGGAAGCTAGGGAAAAGTTATTGCTTCAATTTCAAGTCCAGTAGGTTCTAAGAGGTCAACATGATTTAGTGCATCGAGCTGGTACGGTGGAAATGGCAAAAAAAAATGAAGTAATTAAGGAAGGAGAGCCACACCATGATAGGCAACTTTAGCTAATGACGCGATCCATGAGGTAGAAATCATATACTACTCCTATATTGTTCGTTCTCAAATAAAGACATAACCTCATCAGCCAAGTTAGAGAAAGCAACATCAGCATCTCGTTGAAATAGATACAATCACGGGAGGAGAAGCGTACTTAAGAGGGATGATATATCAAACCGAACAAATAATCTTCCATCAAGCGCTTCTTCTAAGAAGGGAAGGCCAAAGATAATATTATTGAAAAAGGCTCCTAGACCATTCAGCACATTTATTTCAATATATATTGGAAATTCCCTAACTCTATAATTGTTAAATATTATGTAATATTAATTTTTACCTGGAAAAAATATAACACAAAACATTGTGAACAGTCTATATAGGCCACTCTCAACAAATATCGCCAACATGCTAGCTTAGATCCTCTTTCTTGATATAAGTGATATACGATACAAAAACTTCACCTCTTCTGTAATTCCTTGGTATCTAAATGAACCCTCCTATCAGGATGAATGAAGGTAGGCCTGGTTATCTGTTTTTGTCCCAATGATTGCCCAATGGACAACATCAAAACAACTTCTGACATGCTTGGTCTTAAAGTAACAGGTGATTGAGTGCACATCAAAGCGATCTCTATGATCTTCATCACATGCTCTTCTTCATACTCATTTTGATCTAATGTTTCATCAATCAACTCGATGTGTATCTCTTTCTCATACAGCTGCCATGCCTGTTCACCAAGTGGTGAAGCTAAAAAATTAGGACTCGGTAAATGACTATCAGATAATTTGTAGCCAAGGTGCAAAAGTCAACATTGGTTACATCGTATCAAACTTGACTGCATGAATAAAAAAAAGCATAACTAGTAGACCTACACATTATTTAAAAGAGAATATTTGTCTTCCATCCTAAAAAGGTAACACTTCGCCAAGAAAACAACCAGATTGAAAAAAAATACATGGTGAATTAGCAATAAAATCTGTAAAAGTCTAATTTGCATTTGACAGTATTAGGTATGATATCGAGAGAATTTACAATGTTGTATCTTACTTGTTCAAGGAGGTAATGGTTGTCAAGTCCATCCAGTTCGACATCAGTACACCTCCGGCCACTAATGATTTCTAAGGCCACGATTCCAAAGCTGTAGGTGTCAACTTTCTCTGACAAGTGTCCACGGGTTGCATATTCTGGTGCAGTGTATCCCCTATATTGTATTTAGTAAGAAAATGTAGTTATTGGAACTTAAATATTCCAAAATGGAGAATAACACGCAGTGAAGGGAATATATATTGTAAACAGTACGTACAAAGTCCCAGCAAACCGGGTGATAACATGAGATTGATCCTCAGGTTGAAACCTAGCCAACCCGAAATCTGCAATTTTTGGTTGAAAATAATCGTCAAGGAGAATGTTGTTTGACTTTATATCTCTATGAATGATTTTGACATGGAATTCTTCGTGTAGGTGAGCAAGACCCCTAGCAATCCCAAAGATAATGTCAAAACGTTGTCTCCAATTTAGAGTCCCTCTTTTTTCACCTGCCCATTATGAATGTGTAAGTACAACATTTGTGTCTTGAAAACTCTAATTACGTGCTTAGAACGGGGATTCAATCCCATAAATATCTTACCCCATAAGAATTTGTCAAGGCTGCCTTGTGGCATGTATTCTAGGACAAGTAGTAGCTCGGATCCGTTGTTAGACCATCCAAGTAGTCGCAAAAGATTTCGGTGACGTACATTGCTTATAAGGTCAACCTCATTGTTGAATTCTGTAGTTGCTTTACCATAAGTTACATGAAGCTTCTTCACCGCCACTACATTCTCATCATCTACAATTGCCTGTTAAACAATAAATTAACTTTGACTACCTCATTTCCTGTATAGAACTCTTGCAGATACAATGGAAAGGTATGTGTAGTGGCAAACAATGAAAAGGAACAAGTAATGGTAATCCATTTACCATTTTTTTGATCTCAAGGTGTAACAATTTAATATTTTAATTTGACAGTCAAATGTAAAAACATATCTTTGATTACCTTGAATACTTCACCATAGCCTCCTTTTCCTACTCTATACTCTTCGCTGAAGTTATGAGTTGCCGATTGCAAATCTTTATATCTGTAATTTTTTACCCCTTGTAACTGAGTTGCGTCTAAATTATTAGATGACAAACATTCAAGGTTAGTTAGTATTAATGAAATCAAGTTACATAACTTCGAAAATAAAATTTACAATAAATTTGTAAATAGCATATATATATATATATATACATACAATCACCTTCATCGCTTTTTGGCTTCTTCCGTAGTTTGTACCAAAAGGACGAAGAAAGGATAAGCATAAAGATACCTACACCAACACTTGCTCCAACTATCATACCTAATTTGCTTGAACCCCCTGTCACACACACAAATTTATCAATTATACAAATTTTTTGTTACAAACCATAGACTAATGCAACTAAATGTGACTTTGATGTACAACTAGGCTTCTCCAAGTTGTTGGGATTACTTAAGAATAAATTAAAATTTCGGGTTCGAATTACACCCTTGAGTATTGTCGAGTGAGATATCAAGTTAGTAAGCATCATTGGGATGAGGTGTTATCCCCTTGCATGTGGGTTATAGGATATTTCAGAGAGAAAAGGTGTTTTCGAAATAAGGTACCAAATTATATAAACTTTGAATTGACATATTTGACTAATAAATTTGAAGTTGAGGACAATTATAAACAATAATCAATCTCATAAATATTCTATAATAGTTGATGGCAAATATTTAATTTGCAGAACATTATGTTGGCGAAATTATCTGAGTCCCGATTATGGCTTAGGCATGGATCGGGTTGAGCAAAAGATGAGTTGGAGTGCAGTCCAAGTTTATTTTAAATGTGATAATTATCTATTCCTAAGATATAGGGGTATATAGATAATTATCTAGTTTAAATTAAATAGAGTCCTAGTTATATGCTAATACGTACATGGTTAGTGTATATATAGATTCATAGATAGGTTCCAAAGAGAGAGAATCAATTGGAGTTTTTAAGTTAGTTTTCTTCAATACAATATTTGCGTATTTTGGCAATCTCTTTCGTTTTCGTTTTCGTTTTCAATACAATACATTATGGATACTACCATAAAAAAAACCCATTGCATTCTTCCAAACAGTCATATAGGAAGTGTTGATTGTTAGGGACAAAGTAGTAAACTAGAGGAAGAATGTTGACATTCCTTTTTCAATTGTCTCGTATTTTAGATTTTGAATAAGCACACTGTGCTTCAATCAAGCTATAAAAGTACTTCGTACTGATCGGGGAGGTGAGTTCACCTCAAAAGAATTTGATGATTTCTACGATGAACAAGGAATAAAGAGGTAGCTTACAGCTCCGTACACTCCTGAGCAGAATGAGTGGCCGACGGAAAGAACCGACCAGTCCTTGAGATGGCCCGATCCATGTTAAAACAAAAAGGATTGGCAGATCCTTTTTGGGTGAAGGAGTTGCAGCACCATTTCATATTCTCAAGATATCTTCGACTATGTGTGGAACTGAGACCCACATAAATCTGATAGTCACAAAAATGTGATTTTATTGGTTATTGCCCCAAATCTAAAGCTTACCGTGTTTACGAACCCGTGAGTGGAAAGATTACTATTAGTCAGCGTTGTTGTATTTGATGAGAAGGCCAGCTGGGATTGGAAAGTTGAAGACAATAGCCAAATTCCTCAAGTTGGTATTGAAGAAGAAGAGGAGGAACAAAGTATTCCAGAAAAAGTCGATCCAGGAAAAGATGATCCAAAAGAGTTAAGACCCCAACTCAGAGAAATTAGATTCCGTTCCTCCATGCATTGAGTCTCCTAAGAGTCAACCCAATTTCATAGAAGTGAGCAAGGCAAAGTGTCCCGAGCGTAGGTTTGAGATAGAAGGGGAAGACAATTATCATTGGTTTTATTTGCAGGTAACCTGATCACAACATAACAAGCCATTGAGAAAGAAGAATGGAGAACTGCAATGAGAGAAGAGACAGCAATCCAAAGAAATCAAACTTGGGAGTTGGTCGATCTTCCTGAACGTAAAAATGTAATCAGTTTGAAGTGGATTTTCATGACGAAGTATTTGGCCGATGGAAGTATTCAAAATCATACAGAAAGGCCGGCAGTTTGAGGCTTCACACAAAAAGGAATAGACTACAAAGAGACGTTTTCTCTAGTAGCAAGGCTTGAAGTTGTTTGAATAATTTTTGTTGTTGGCGGTTGCAGCTCAGGAGAAATGGAAAATACATCAGTTCGACATCAAGTCCGCCTTATTGAATGGCGAACTAAAAGAGGAGGTATATGTGAGCCAGTTGCTAGGTTTTGAAAGCAATACCGAGCCAAACAAGGTGTTTCGCTTGCGAAAAGCTCTCTACGGGATTAAACAAGCACCGCGTGCCTGGTATATTAAGATCGAAGATTTTTCCACAAGAATAGCTTTGAGAGAAGTCAACATGAGCCAACTCTTTACATAAAAACGCGAGGTACACACAACTTACTCGTAGTGAGTCTTTATGTGGACGATATAATATATACAGGTTCATCCCTACACCTTATGCATGAGTTTCAAACTTCCATGAAAAAGATGTTTGAAATGATGGACTTTGGAGAGTTTCAATACTTCCTCCGGAAGGTATATTTATGTCACAAAGGAAATACATGGAAGATACTCTGAAAAAATTAACATGCAAGGATGCAAGGTTGCTTCAATGCCAATGAATACCAATGAGAAGTTAAGATCGGATGATGAAACTGGTTTGGTGGATGCAAGTGTCTACAGAAGTCTCATCGGAAGATAGATTTATCTTACTCTCGTCCGGATATTGCTTATACCGTTATACGGTTGTTCTATCTCGATTCATGCACCCTCCAACAAGACATCGTTTTGGAGCTTCAAAGAGAGTTCTACATTACTTACCAGGAACCAAAGCCCATGGAATTTGGTTTTGCAAAAATGAAGACTCAGGCTCAAAGTATTCACAGATAGAGAATGGGCTCTAAGGGTGATTCGAGACGTACTTTAGGCTTAGGCCGTTCTTTTCTACTAGGAATAGCCGCCATATCCTGGAGTTCAAAAAAACAGGCCACAGTGGCTCTGTCATCAACAATAGCCGAATATTTAGCAGCTACTGCATTAAGTTGTCAAATTCTCAGTGACTTGGGGCATGAACTAGCCAAATCTACCATCATTAAGTGTGACAGTAAGTCAGCAATCTTGCTAGCAAAGAACTCTGTATATCATAATCGCACCAAGCATATCGAGATCAAGCACCATTTTATAAGAGAGCTGATTGCAGAGGGTGAAATTCAACTCGAAGAATGTTGAAGTCATGACCAAGTTGTAGATATTTTGACAAATAGTCTGCCTCAAGCAAAAAATGAAGAATTCAACACCGAACTGGGAGTTTTCAATGCTCGAATGAAGGGGGAGTGTTGAGATTCCTTTTTTAATTCTCTCGTATTTTAGATTTTGAATAAGTCCATTGTGCTTCAATCAAGCCAGTAGAATTAGTCCAAGTTTTGAGATTTTTAGGATTATTTTTCTTCCAGTAACCGTTCTTATATTGCCTATTTAAAGGCTTTGAACTACATTCAATAAAGCAACAACATCATTAAATTTATACTCGCGTTGTTTTAAATTTCGAACAAGAAAAAGACGACTAACCTTCATGGAGGAAAGGTATGATGTTGGTTGTCTGGTTATCTTGAAAAAATGGAGTCTCAGAGTATCTCATAAAGCACCCCAAGTCGATAGTCCTTCCTTCCATACTTGGGAGACAACTATAGAGATTGTTATATGCTGTATCCAGGCAGTTTTGGCAAATGGCCTGGGTTGTATTTTCAACACATTGTGCAATAGCATATATTGTTGCATTGCTACTTGAGACTTGCCTTGTGGATGCTACATAGAAATTTGAAGTTCTTGGGGCAGCAATCTGAATATCTGATAAAAGTTCTTCCACTGTTTGGTTAAAAATTGTTGGCTGAGATGCTGACTGATTGCCACATATCCCAGTTGGAGCCACACCGACATCCATGGTTGTTTGGGGATTGTCATAGAATTCATCAAAGTTCTCGTACCTTAACCAATATGAAGCATGTATTTTATATTAGTATGAAGTTACACACACATTCTCTATCAAGTTAATTGAAAGTTATCATATAACAAAATAAGAAATAAAAATCTTCTTGTCAGCACTGAGGTTCAAATGTGGTGAATTCGGGCTATCCGTAAGTGGTCGTCCTGGGATTAGTCTGCTCGCATAGCAGGTTGGTAATCAAATTTTTTTTTATCGATTTTGAAAGTTGGGTATAGGATATAGATATCGATATAGTAAGAACACGAATGTTAAATGGATTATGAACGAAATGGCTGTCCATAAGCAATATTTGGATCATATTTCAGCATGTGAGTATCACGAAATATACTAGGGGATAATCCGAATACACACTTTGTAAATGAAGGAAAATCAAAAGAAAAAGTATGGATATTATTGTGTTTTGTGCATGTTAAATTGAGATTGAAAACCTCTTAATAGATAGGTAGTTACTAAACCAATTGATATAGGGTGGTTGAGTAAATAACTACTGACTAATAAGATTAGTAATGGCTGTTGCACCAAATTAAGTTCATAACACGACTTACCTTCTAAATCCAAATCCCGTATTTTGAAGTGAAGTTCAGAATGCTATATATATATATATATATATATATATATGTTTTTGGTCAAGAGGGAAGGTTAGAAATAAACAAAATATGACTTCATATAAATCACATTAAATTGGCAAATGCTTGTATGCAATGTACTTATACACGATGCGAGTAGCATGCGACCTCAACCATTCACACAACGCAGACACGTACAAATCACTTTCAATGTACATAGGGACGGATTAATGTTTGTGCGACCACTTAAATATCTAGCAAAGGACATCATCACAAGAAAATTGAGAGGCTACAAGAGCATATGGAACTTTAAATTTGAGTTTTGATGTTAACGATGATGGAAAACACATATTAAAATCCTTAATTGGAAATCTTTGAAATTGGATCTGATTTAATGTCCTGTACTTGGTATGCAATTATAATTAATTTTTTATTTCATTTCATATTACGGTTATATATATTTTATGCCATCATTGAGAAAATCGTAGATCCACCTCTAAATTTACCACGCAAGTTTTCAACTTTGTGTACATGACTTCATGGCGACTACCCAAGTCGCCTAAAAACGCCCAAGCCTATATGTTTTTGTATTAAGGAAATAAATTGTATATAGTCAAACGGAGGGGCTAGGATAGATTAAGGGACTGTTTACCCAAATGCTTACCCGGTAAGTGCTTATCTATAAGAGTCAACACTATAATTTATTTTAATGAGTAAGATTTTAGTACATGAAAACGTATTGAATGCAACAATTTACCGGGTAAGCACTTATTTTGATGAATATAATACAACATTGTATTATATTCTTCTTATTTTATGTTTTAATTTATTTTAATAGTTCATACTTTAAGTTTAATTGCATTTTATTTTAGTTGTTATTTATCTTTTATATATTTCACTTATTGAATCACTCTTGAATTAATTTATTGTTTTCTTAGATTATAAACGATTCTTGAAGAGTGAAATTTCTTAGATCTATCTTTACAGTTTTCTGAGATTATTTTTACTGTTTTTTATATTTACTTCTATGTTCCCTGGTCTAGCTATCATTTGAATTGAGTTTTGTTGTCTTCGATTAAAATTTTGGTATTAATCAATGGACTTTAATCTATATATATATTAAAGAAGAAACCACATGCAATGATGTGGCATCTTCTCAAAACAAGAAAATATTTTATCTTTTTTTTCCTTTTTTCAAGCTTTTCCTGCATAAATATTTGTTTTTGATTTTTGATATTCACATTTAATATCATCTAATTAGGTTGTTTCAACCTATTCATGTTCCCTCTAATAATTACTCTTTTAACTCTCATTATTTCTCTTTATTTTGTTATAAATTTTCATCTTCTCTTCTACACCTTTATAATAATCTTTATATTAATCACTCAATTCTTCCTCTCTATTTGGTTATAGATTTTCATCTTCTCTTCATAGTACACCTCTATAATAATCTCTATATTAATCACTCAATTCTTCCTCTCTATTCATATATAATTTTGTGATACACCTCTATGATATTCTCTCTATTAATATCTCAATTCTTCCTCTCTATTCATGTATAATTTTGTGGTACAACTCTATGATAATCTCTCTATTAATCTCTCGATTTTTCTTCTCTATTTAGTTATAAATTTGTGGATGCGATTTGCATTTTTGTTTATTTGAGGTGTCATTCAATAAAACAAATCATGGTATGAGTTTTTGTTTATGTAAGTATAATATTTCTTTTTTAGTCGGAGATATTCACATCATAGTTGGAATTATGTAAGCATATGGATTTTTTGTGTGTGGATAAAGTGGCATATGAATCATTGAAGAAACAGTTTAACATTGTTAATTTTTTATTTATTTATGATTTTGGACCAATTACAAAGTTTGATATGATAGAAAATCGATATATAAAAATTATTATATATATATATATATATACATTAAAAAAAACCAATAATGATAAGGTGGATTCATATATCAAAAATAATATTGATTTTTATTAGTTTAATATATAAATGTGATTATCGACTCATTTAACTAACTTCAATAATTTAAAAAATTATATTATCATCGTGCAACACCCAATGTCAAAAACTAGTGAATACTAGATTTTAGTCGATTGATTCTCAATCAACGAAAGTTGTTCTATGGTTAATTGGTTTTTAATCTTCGGTTAGTTCGTTTAGTTGAAAATACGGACGGAAGTTTGATTTTTGATTTAAACCGAATTGGTTAATAATTACATTCCTAACATGAGAATGGTTAAAGACGTAGGATGACAAAACATTTTTTTTCATCTAATTGTTTCTTTTGCTATATTTGTATCTTATGAAAGTAGATGCAAGTTTGTTTTAGAAATATTTTTCCACCTTAACAGAGTCAAAATATTTTTACACAACAAATATTCACCATTATTGAAATCCAAGACTGGCCGACCTGGGTTAGCTTTAATTTTTATGTCTCGTCGGTCTTTTTAGTCTATTTTAATTATAAAAATCATCCCTAATAAATAAAACTCGTAGCTAGGCCGTAATCTAGAACGAGCCCGAATTAGTCCATCGCCTCTTAGGATTGACCCGTATGCTACACATTCGTACGCTTGCGGTGTAAATAATAAAACTCACATCTAGTTACCGTTTATAAAATTATACTGATTATTTACATGGAAAATATATTTACTAATAAAGAAAAAACTATTAATGTTTGTGTTGAGGAGGAAGATGTGATTTGTAAACAGTGAGAGGTTTGTATTTTTTGCTCATCAAAACTTTTTAGTAGTATGCCTTAGACATGGATCAATGATATATCACAACACCAGTTGGGTTAAGATTAGTGATCAGTCAGGGTAACGGTGGTAATCACATTCAAATGCAACACAATTTAGTTGACGATGAACAGAATAATTCCATATAGTAAACAGCAAAAGGAAAACTCACCTGAGAAAGCAGTCATCGAGAAAGACATTAGCACCATTAACAGATGAGCAGCTTTCAACTGCAGATACGGCAACATCAAAGCAAGCCACACAGTCAGCCGTGGAGAGGTAATTCCTGCACTGAGCTAATCCATACACCGAGTCCTGATTCCTCAAATTCTGTGCTCTGGCATAAAATACATCGTTATTCAATAATTGACTTCTGAGTTGATCAATTGTATTGTTAAGGTTACTGAAAAAGCTTGATGAAGACATTGCAGCGTTACTCCCACAGGATAATCTAATGGGTGTAGTACTGGTACTGTCGTTCGACTGTGCAGTTCCAAACTCTGACATCATTAAGATAATCCCAACCACCACCAACACTGCCATCTGCTACCACGAGAATCACCCTCCTTCTCTCCCCTCTTTTCTGTATTTTTAATCGATGGAAGTTTATTGATAACTAACATAAAAAGAAAAAGGTTAGTTTGACCAAGTTGTATTTATACTGAAAGAATATGCCCGAAAAGTTTGTTGGATAAAATACTCCCATCCTTGCTGCTGGCTTATCAATTTTTGTGCGGTAAGGCTTAAAGGGGAAAAAAATTGAAACTTTGACATTTTTCTTTTTTTATTAGCCAGATATCCGACCTATTATGCGACCCGACTAATCCCAGGACGATCACCTGCTTTGCAGATGGTTCAGAATCATTGTATTTGAACCTTTATGGCCACAAGAGGATTTTTATTCCTCTTTGGATTTGAACCTGGGACTACCTAGTACTTTTGACTTTTGGAGACAAGCTTAAACCAATTATACATCACCCTTGTGGTTAAACTTTGTCGTTGTAATATACTAGATCTAAAGGTCGGGTTAAATACCACCAAGTAGTTAATGTTTTGTTAAGAAATAAACTTCAAATTAAATATATAGCATTTGACAAGTGTTAGAGGCTGTTTGTTAGTTGCTGAATGGTTTGGTTCAGAATAATTAAGAGGTTCTCATGATACAGTATAGAATGAAATATAATTGTTTGGTAATTTTTTATAATAAAATTAGGATGCTGAATAGTTAGGAGATCTCAAAATACAAAATTATTAAGTAAGTTTTAGAATCATTCAAAGACAAACTTTTTATTTTATCAAACAAATTTTACTTATTAATGATTTAAAAATTGTTTATTAATTAAACTATTAAGAACTAAACCAACAATCATATATGGAACTTCAAGTGAAACTCCTTGAACCGACACGGCATTAAATTCATGAAAAGCTAGAAACGACGTAAAGAATTGAACTTCTATTGCTTGAATATTGTTTGGGATTTGTTTTGAAAATTTGCTGCATTGTAGGGATTGTATGGTCATTTCTGCGCTGTTAAGGATGATTTGATATAGTTTTTGCATCATTTATTAGTTGGCACCTGTCCCTGCAGCTGGTGACTAAAGGACGCGTGTATATCTATTGATGGCTTCCAAACTGCACAGCGCAAGCTAGAATTCTGGAAAGTCAGCTAATGAAGATGGCTTTTGAATTAACATCATCTGTCATTGTAGGTCTTAATTTCTGGAAAATTATTAAAAGAGAGTTTTCTCATGAATCCTCTTTTTATAACGGATTAGGGGTTATGGATTGTCTTAAGCCTTATAGCTTGTTCACAAATGATGTTTGGTTGGGACTTATTTTGTTTATACCTTTTTCCTTATATATTTTTCATAAGACGGGAGGTATTCACGAATCGGTAGCCTCCTTATCTATTTTGTATAAAGGACATGATGTGTGACATTACTTTCGAATGAGACATATTGAATATATTTGGTTTATTCATCAACACTCTTATATGTAATAATATATGTCATCCATAAGACCATAACCACAATAAAATAAGCTAAACTTGTCTCTTTTTTGGTAATATTAATTATCCATGTAATAAACAAATTCTAAGATTATTCCTGTTTTGTCATTGATTAAAGGTCATCTGAACATTTATTAATGGAATTTTTTTTATTAAATTATATATGATGGCAAATATAATTTGGAAAGGTCTTCGATCATGCAAATACCAGCAAAGTCAATATTGTCATGTTTGAAGAGAATGATATTCGACATCATGAATTTCACAAACAAATTTAATAATAATAAAAATAAACTCCAAGCAATATAAAAAATAAAACTTGTACCTTAATACGAATTGGTCCCTATATAATATTCACTAAATCAAGTTGGGTATTTGGTGATCAGGTTATAATTGTGGCACTCATTAATAATATGAGTCATGTCTCATTCATTAATAAATAAGTTGTGAGGTGATTAATTTGTTGATAAGGGGCTGTTTACTAAATCTTATCGGGTAAGTGCTGTTCGGGTAAGAGTGCTGACCCGGGTAAGTGCTATCCCGGTAAGTGCTGTCTCGAGTAAGAATGTTTACCAAATGTTATTGGTAAGTGCTTACCAAAAATATAATGACCAATATAACCCTATTTATAATTATATATTGAATAATATATAATTATTTTTGTTATTAATAGTTTAATGGAGGAGAAAAAACAATACTGAAAATATGAACACATCAAGTCAAGATGGTATTACATCAATGATAACAGATTTTTACATCAGGTCAAGATGGTATTACATCAATGGTAAAGAACAAGTAAAACACAGAGCGACGAGGGCCGGGAGTGACAAGGGTTGGGAGCGACGAGGAGGAGGATCGATTTGAAACTGTCCGGCGTTGGGGAACTCGTCGCCCTTCCCACAGGAGCGAAGAGGGCCGGGAGTGACAAGGGTTGGGAGTGACGAGGAGGAGGATCGATTTGAAATTGTCCGGCGTTGGGGAACTCATCGCCGTTCCCACAAGAGCGAAGAGGGCCGGGAGTGAGGGGTTTGAAACCTAATCGTGAAGAGGACCGGGAGTGACAAGGGTTGGGAGCGACGAGGAGGTGGATCGATTTGAAATTATCCGGCGTTGGGGAACTCGTCGCCGTTCCCACAAGAGCGAAGAGGGCCGAGAGTGACAGGGGTTTGAAACCTAATCGTGAAGAGGCCGGGGAGGAGGGGCGATTTGAAACCTAATCGTGAAGAGGACACATAAGGAAGATGAAAATCTGACCCAGGTAAGCATAATTTTGTTGCTGTCTCGGTCAGTGTTCGGTCAGCATACCGGTCAGATTTCAGTCAGACCAATGAATTAGTAAACAAGCTGACTGCTGACTGAGACAGCATTGCTGACCGGTCAGCGCCTAGTAAACAGCCCCTAAGTCTTGATCATCCATCTGTCCTTTCAATTCGATAATATTCTTTATCATTTAAAAAGAGTATTAGTCATTGATTAGCGTAATAGTTATTTATTGTTCCCACTACATATGCCAAAAAGCCATTTGCTATAAGAATAACACAGTTTGGAACATAAACAAATTGAGAGTATAAATTGAACTTGTTGAGAAAATTACTTATTCCAGAATAATCTTTAAGAAAAAAAAGGTGCCTTTAATATGTATAGAGAGATAAGCGATCAAATGTAAATCATCCTCTTTTGTGTAAACCTTACAAACCAATTTTATCTATCTATTTTCTTGATCAATGGTCATGATTAAAATGTGTTATATTAGAAAAGTAAAAAATGAAATAAAAGGTTTAATATTTAATCAAGAAAGGGCAAAATTGACAAATCATTTTAACTTTTAGCCATATTATATTAAGAAAGCAAATCATTGTTTTATTGACTTTCCTTCCATTGATATATTTGACATATCTTGTTCCTAAAAAAACATCTTTTTATAGACAACATGACAAAATATATTATTTGGGACTAGACTGGTTAATGAAACAGATTGAAGTAATCTAAAATCTGTTTCATACCAATCCAAAACTTGTTTCATACCAGTCTGATTCATAATGAAAATACATCAAAAGTGAAATTAGTTTCATTGTTCGTCTGTATAATGAAATTTGAGCCAGATATGGTTCAGTCAATGGAACATTTTCCAAAAAGCTGAATGACATGTTTTCGTTAATGAAATCCGTTTCATCATTGAAATAGATTTCATGGACTCCACAATTCTAAAAACTGAATGACATTGTTTCAACAGTGAAAATTGTTGAAATGTTTCCTAATCAAAATGAAATCGGTTTCATGGTTTCTAACGAAGATGAACTCGGTTTTACATATGAAACTAAATGTTGTTCAGTCAATAAAACACTTCAAAAAGTGAATAATACTATTTCATTCATTTTTAAATTTGTTTTATGTTTCTAACCAAAATGGAATTGGTTTCATGGTTTATAGCAAAGATGAAATTGGTTTTATTAATGAAACCAAATATGATTCGGTCAATGAAACATTTCAAGACCTGAATACTATTATTTCATTAATGAAAATAGTTTCATAGTTCCTAACCAAAATGAAATTAGTTTCATTTTTTAAACATTTTGAAAACTGTATAACATCGTGATTCAATAATCAAGGAAGTATTTAGTTGTCAAAAACATTGTCAATATTTGTGAAACATTGTGTCTATTTGTTATAGGGGTGACAACCTTTTCGTGTCTTTATACGCTTGTATCCTATGTACGTACTAGTATGATGATTCAATAATCAAGGAAGTATTATGTTAAGATTTGTTTGATGATTCAATAATCAAGGAAGTATTATGTTAAGATTTCTCTAACATCACATACCTCCCGTCACCTTACATGCATGAATTTGTTACATCTTCGTCATGAGTCATGGTGGTGATACAAGCAGGTATGCAAAGGTGAATGATGGTAAATGAAAAAAGGAAAAGGAATACAACAGATGCAAAAGCCAATTTTTTGTATCATTATACATGCCAAACTATGGATGGAAATATCAGCACCAGCAGCTGCTATAGCTCATGAAGAATATTGGTTCATATATCTCACAAAATGTGAACACTATTGTCTTGAAAGCATAGGATATTACCCGTAACCCGTTTTTTCAGCAAGATGAGCTGACAAAATGAAAATCTAACGATCGGAAAGTTCAACAGTTGAGGCAGTGGCATTTGATGTAGATGGAGCAAATGTGGAGGTGTCTAATGGAATCTGCAAATGAGGTTCACTTAAGGTAGACCTCAATGGCGACCTTTGCTCTGGTGAACTGTCACTTAAAAGTGTAACCACTTCAGACATTGATGGTCTTGTTGACGCTGGTGACTGGGTGCACATCAGGGATAGTTCGATGATTTTCTTCACATCTTCTTGTACATATTCACTTGGTTCTAGGGTAATATCAATTAGATTCACATGCATTCCATTCTCGTATAGATTCCATGCCTATCATACATGACAAGAAGCAAATTGGTTATGTGATGAAATATATATTCACATTCTCCAATATATTAATATATGAGTCAGAAAATTTTGGCTTCATCGATATCATTATAGACATGAGTCAAGGAAGCTAGCAGAACATGTTAAATAAGCTAACTTTGAGATACTCACATAATCAACTAAGTTTTGTGTAACATATCCATTTTCTATGCCATCTGTGCACCTCCTTCCGCTAATAATTTCAAGGACCACAACACCAAAGCTGTAAGCATCTACTTTCTCAGACACCTGCCCGTGGACTGCATATTCTGGCGCTACATAACCACTGAACACAATATGAATTAGTAGCAGTTAGTGGAGTATTCATTTTCATTGCCAGAGAAACATAACAATAGCTAGAGAGAGAGAGAGAGAGAGAATTAAACAAGAAGATCCAATTATGAATCTCTAGTAAATTCAACATACAATGCCCCTGCAACTTTGGTGCTGATATGTGTCTTATCTTCCGGTAGTAGTCTAACCAGACCAAAATCTGAAAGTTTTGGCTGAAAGTCATTATCAATTAGAATATTGCTTGATTTAATATCTCTGTGAACGATTGTGACATGGTATTGTTCATGTAGATATGCAAGTCCCCTTGCAATCCCGAAGATTATTTCAAACCTTTGTTTCCAAGTTAGGCTCCCTCGTTTTTCACCTGCCAATTGTTAGATCGACTGTAAGATTCAAACTTCAAGTACTAATCAGCTAAAGACATGGCTCCAACTCACCATAAAGGAATTTATCGAGGCTACCATTTTCCATGAACTCGATAACAAGAAGCAAGTGAGGTCCTTTGTTACAATATCCAAGAAGACGCATAAGATGTCGATGATGAACATTACTTATGATTTTAAGTTCATTATCAAAGTATGTGTTTCGTCCTCTAGAAGCCATAGTTGTTTTTTTTATTGCAACTACTTCACCGTTCCTTAGTGTCCCCTGCATCATGCCAAAAGTAAGTAGAAGGAAAACATACTACGACCATCTAGAGTATAATGGACTTCATTGAGACAAAGGTATAAAATAACTACAAAATTAATCTGTAAAATATAGGCTCCTCCACTTTACCTTATATACCTCTCCAAATGCTCCTTCACCAAGCTTGTGCTCTTTACTAAAATTATTTGTCGCGATTATTAAATCATTGTAGCTATAAGGCATGGGGCCTTGCAGCAATTCAGTTGCTCCAGTCGACTTATCTGGTAAGTTGAAAGCTCACATATATTATCAACCATTAGACAATGTAAAGATGAAATAAGGATTCATTAATATGAGATGTTTCATTTTAGAAACATTGGAACTTGGAAGTGTCAATACACAGTAAAGACACCATTAGGAAGTTTCCAGAAATTTTGTATTAGACGTCTTTGCTAGTGGATGCAGATCGATTGTATACCTTGTTGGCAATCACTTGATTTGGTGGACCGATGCCATAAGATAAATACAAGTACAATCAACAGAAAGCCGACACCTCCAAGAACTCCCCCTATAATAGCTCTCTTTGTGCTTGAATTTCCTGACGATCACATAAGCATAGGTTTTTATAAAGATACTTACTACATATTAAGTTATATCATATATAATACAAACTACATAGCTAAATGGCTATTGAGGACTCAGTTTGATCTACTATATTTAACAACAAAATATCTCAAAATAAAGAACTTTAAGCATTTAAGGTCATATGTTGGGAAGGTCTTACCATCCTTGAGAAAGGGTGTTAAATCAGTGGTCTGGTTGTCTCTAAAAAACGCATTGCTGGAGTACCTCATAAAGCATCCTGCGTCAATTGCCCTTCCAAATGTATTAGGAAGGCAATTGGCTAAGGTTGTACTTCTTATCGATAAACATTCTGCACAAACATTTTGGCTTATGTTTACATTGCATTGTGCAATTGCGTAGACTGTTGAATTGCTGCCTTTGAGTCTCCTTGTAGAAGCAGCATAGAAATCTGGTGTTCTTGGTGTTGCAACTCGAAGGTCTGAAAGCAACTCTTTTACTGTTTCTCTGAATGCTTCTTGAGATGATGTGTTGTTGCCACATACTCCAACATTGCCCCTAACATTAGCCTCCGTGTAGAAGTTATTGTTCTCATACCTTCAACAACACAAATATTTTTATTTAATTAAATATAAACTCAAATGTTATATATTTTTATTTAATTAAATATAAACTCAAATGTTATATATTTTTCAAAAAAAACATGAGATTAATATTTTTTTTTAAACTGTATAAGAAGTTTTCCAAGTTTTGTCTTATGTAGTATGTAATAAATAATGTTTTTTATTTCAAAATACAACAAAATCAAGTTTATAGGCAACAAAATCTATGGTCTTACATGGTAGCTGATGAATAAATCATGTTTGGATAAACTAGCTTATGAGAATGTTAAATTATCAAAAGAGATATCTTGAAAATTAGTCAATTACAACATTTTTCATAATAAAATTAATACAAATTTCTAATAATATAATATTTTAATTAATACAAACAAGATCGTAATAAATTAAATAATGTAATACGTTAATTAAGAGAATTTCAAATTGAATATTGTTGTATATATATGAATTCTATAGAATTTAAGTTTATAGGACCAAATAATTATGTATTCTATGTAAAATGTTAAAATAAACTTATATCTAGGACGATTATTCATGTTAAATGTTATACGTGTCTTAACAAGTTTTTTTTATCATACTTGTAAAATAAGTTTTCATATTAGCTTTTGTATAGCACATATTAAAAAACTATTTTATAAACACGTATTTTTATAAAATACTTGTTTTTGTAAAACACTTTTCAAATGATGTCATATAAAAAGTTTAATAGGGTGTTTTATTTCATAAATGATCTTAAAACCTTTTAAGACAGCGTAAAACACGTAGTAGCATTTTTCATTGGATGATCAATTTTTGGTCCTATAAATTTGAATCATATAAAGGAGTTTGTGTCATGTAAACTCGAATATGTTGTAGTGTTGGAGCAAATATGAGAAATACTCATTTGCTGTCTTTTATTGGATGTTAAATTTTAATTAAACCCATTATTTAGACCGTCTTTAATGCAATGTTATTAGAAGTAAGAATTGTGGGTTTTTAAAAAAAACCATCATCAAAGAGAGCTCTTATAAGAACCTTACATCATTTGAGTCATTGTACAAGAATCTTGGTTTTTTCTAAATTTTCAGACAAAAGTTTCCATCACACTCAAGCTTCTCCAAAACTTTAACACAAACCAGGTCAGGTTTCTCCTTGAAAACTTACACTTTTACCAAAAGGTCCTCACACTTTACTTCGGATGAAATATACTAAACTTGATTGATTCAGGAAATACTAAGTATTAAGTTCAAGAAAAAGAATAAATTACCTTAGATCACAATCATCGTAGATAACATGACCACCGTTGACAATCCCACATACTTTCACTCCTTTAACAGCGAGGTCAAAACAATTCAAACACTCTGAAGGGGAGAGATACTCCCTGCACAAAGCAAGACCGTATACTGATTCCCCATTGATTATAGTCCGTGCAACAGCATGGTACTCGGTGACGTTGGACAACTGCCGCCGGAGGCTAGAAAGGGTGGTGTTGAGGTTCCTTGAGAAAAACTCGTCGTCTAATACACCATATTGACTGCAATACCGTCTAATCAGAGTATTACTTCTGTTACTCGTCTGTGATGTCACCGGCTGCAACATAGTTACGAAGACCATCACCACCATGCCAACCAACCACCAACTTCCGACGGGTATCAGGGAATGTTCTCCCATCTCTCACACTTGTTCGATAAACGAGCTAGTCGGACGTACTGTGGTCAACAAAGGGAAAGAGAGAAACATATGAATACATTCCCATCCGTTAATTACAAGATATATCAATTATAGCTATCGCTTGAATTTACCAATTTACCCTGTGGACGTATGGACCACTTGCTGCTTTTAGGTATTTGCATGAAGTTGACTAAGCTACAATTATTTGAAAGCGAATGTCTTGCCATCAAACAGCAGCCAACCAACCCCCAAAATATTATTATTGTCAAAGTCAAATGGTAGTGGGCCCTTGTTCATACATCCTTCGAGGAGCATGGTTAATTTCCGCTATTATAGGTTGAATATCCAAATTGGTAACTTTTTACTGCATGGTTCTTTGTCATGTTAGCAAATTTTGTATGTATGAAACAAATATGTATAATAAGTGGTATATTTTGATGATGTTTAAGACTTAAGTCCTGTAGGTGATAAGATTATTAATAGTAATTATCTATGTCATATCAACATTTTTTGTTGATACATACGAGTCGAAGTAAATGTACTGAGAATAATTTCTTAATAAGAAATCGGGTTTGATAACCGGATATATATATATATATATATATATATATATACTATCTTATAAAACATTTGACTAAAACTCTTAAACTCGTTCATCCCTAAACGATTTCGTCCCTATCCGATTTCATCACATATCTGAAT